TTCCCTCTTCCATTCGAGGGGAATGTAGTTTAGGAACCTGGCGTTGAAGGACACCTGGTCTGGCAGCGTCACCATCTGGGACGCTGCTTTTGACAGTTCTAAGTAGAACTGTTTTAGGCCTTTTTCCGCTTCGTATTTGACGTTGGGGTATTTCTTTGTCGCGTTCAACGTGGCGGAGGCTTTGATGAAGGTTCTCATCAATATGTTGAGAACTTCGAGGAACATGCCCTCGTCTCCTCTGAGGAGAGTTTCGTCTCGGAGTCTAATTCCGAGGTCAAATGCGGGCCCCCCTAATCCACGAATCAAGCAGTCCAGGTGGACTTCGTCAAATTGGGGACCTTTGCATCCTCGCAAGGCAAGGAATCCCAGTAGTTCTGTGAACCACTGCCAGAACGATTCCATGTCGTTCTCCCCTGACCATTTCTTGTCAGGGAATGCCGGCCCATTCTTTAGGGCTTCTGGTTTCACTCCTTCTGGGTATGGAGTGAGTATTCTCACTTCGGCCATTCTTATGGCCTTTTCGTACCATTTCTCCAGGTACTCTTCTTGCTCCCCTGCCTTCGCGGGGTCGCTATCCAATGGAGATCTCTCCTTTGGGGGGGTTTTTGCTGGGGGAAATCTTCCTTGCAGCGTTTCTTTGGTTTCAGGCGAATTCGCCTGAAGTTGTATTTGTATTCTCTCATTGTTTTGAGAGGGTGTGAATGAGTTACCTCTCTGTTCGAGAGGTCCGTCATAAGTGGACGTTTGGCCAAACCGTTGGTATGTGCCAATTCTCCTCCTAATCTCTGAACGATGCCTTCTTTCGGCATCATCTTCTCCTATCCTTGGGAGAAGGATCTCCTTAGCATCTCTGTCGAGTCGCTGATGATATTCCAGTGTGCTTTCACTGGTGGTTCTTTTCGTGAATTTTTCACGAGTTCTATTTATGTCCTGGACCGTGGTCCAGGGGTGTTTATTTGTTTCTTCACTTTTTTGTGAGAAATTTATTTCCTTCAGCAAATCTGTTTGTTTGCTGATTTTTTCAGTCAATGCGTCAATTGTGTTGGCCATTCTTTCTAGAGTTATCTCTAGATGAGCTGTGCTATTATGGTTCGTTTCCTCGATCTTTTTTTGGATCGAGTTTATCACATTTATTATGCATGATTCCTGGTTTTCCAGGAGGAAGTTTGGTTGGGCGAGCAGTGACTCTCCCCAGTTGACATTTCCGCTTCTGGGGGTTCCAGAATGGGTTCTTGGAGTGAACACTCCACGCTCGCTTTGTTTAGGCGAGGCCGTTGCGGAGGGTGCTTCCCTTTCATAGAGGGGTCTGTTCGCTGGTTTCTCCTTACGTAAGGCTTCCTCAGCGAACTCCCTCATTTCCGTTCGCCTCCTCTTCATTATCTCGGAGACCTCCTCCGAAGTTGGCGACCTTGCCTTGTCTGGCATGGTGTGTGGGAGTGTAAACACCGGAAGTTCTTTTGGAGCTTCCGCGCTCTGGGAGATCCTGCTCTCAGGGCATATTTTCACGCCTTCTCAGGCTTTCAGCCTGAGAAGAAGTTGATCTTCACTTTCCGTCCTCCATTCAGACGGAACCTGGAACAAGTCCAGTAGTTTTTCGGATAGCTGACGTGGGGGCTCTTCCCTTTGTTTCCCTTTGTCTGCCTTTGGGGCTTGACTCAGGGCATGCCCTGACACACTGCCACCTGGATGTTCCCTCTGGGTCACACTACACAACTCTAGGAGCTGTATAGTTGTGGGCATGTGATCCATTCCTTTATATAGCAACCATGCAGGGAGATGAGACCTTTACCCTTCTTCTCATCTCATGCCCCACATAGTGTGAGGACAGGTTAGATGGGGGTTGAGGTCAGGGGGCCTCCGAGTCCGAGGCCGGGCCCCGACATCCACAAAAACCACTAAACTAGGATGGACCATGACAGGACTTTTAGGGAACGGTATACCAATAAAGCGGAGAGCTATAATACATTCATCTGAACAATTCTTGACTACTAGCAACTTTTTCTTTCAGTTCTAAACCTGAATAATTCACTCATTTATCATTTCAAGTCTCATTTCAACTAAATGTTACTGGATAAAAATAGAATAAATCAGCTGAAGGTCTCAGTGCAGCTGTATGCATAGTAATGCGAAGTTTGAATTCAGAATGACTGCTGATTCATAGCGAACTTAATGGTAAATATGGGGAATTTGAAATAGAAAACTGCGACAAATGCAGTGCAGTCAAGTTCTAATTAACCATTAAAATAGCTTAGGTGAGGAAGGACAATAAGGATTCTAGGTGCAGTCTGACTGCAGTAGAGCCGCAGTTCAGCACAGCAGAGCACAGTAGAACTATAGTGTGAAATTTTCATTTTTTATTCAGTTTGAGGAAAATACACTAGGGGGCCTCATGGTTGATTAAAGTGGGGCTAAACTGGTTTCCAAAGTAGTTCGAAATTGACCTAAATTCCACCTCAAGTGGGGCCCAAGTTTAGAGCGAGTTTAGGTCGAGTTTAGGTCACTTCAAGGGCATTCAAAGTTGGGGCGGTTCTAAAGTGTGTCCAAAGGTTCTAAAGTGTGTCCAAAGTAGCTCGGACCCAGATCTCATAAGTCCATTCCGTTCCGTGGTCACGCAATCACTATACTTCTGAATGCCATCTACTTCTGACCGCCAGCTCCTCATACATGCGGCCCTCCAGCACACTCTTCAAATACGTGCACATCACCATCAACAATGCCAACATCTAAGATCAAGGAACCGCTCTTTGAGTTCTAGTTCAAACACTGACAACTCCAGTCACAACAGTGTGACATCCATGTCAAGCGGTAGCAGCAGTAGCAGTAGCAGCAGCAGCAGCAATGACAACGGTGACAATGGTGATAACAGTGGCAACCACAACACCTCCGGTCTATCTTTGTCATCTAATGCTGAATGTGGCCGTGCTCTGCAGTCTCTCCATCACTCCTACTTCCAGTCCATGTTCCATGCATGATCCTTTCTCTCTGGCCTCCTTTCCACCCACATCCTATTTCCACATGAGGTTTCAAAATGTAGCCAGCTAGGGCTTGTCCTCATATGTTACAAAGATGATGACCCTGTGCGCTTCTGTCAAAATCTCCATATCTCACCTTGCACATTTGATGTTCTCATCTCCCTCATTCAAGACCACCCCTCCTTTCACAACAACTCTCAACTCAATCAATGGCCCATCCCATGCCAACTTGCCATCGCATTATTTTGGTTTGGCCATTTTGTGTCAGGGGACGACTCCTGGGTCCCCATGACCCTCCCTATGGCCCACAGCCTCAGGTCTGGCCAGCCCTACTGTGGGTAAGGAGATGAGAAGGAAGCTAACTTCTCATCTTCCCACAGTGGCCACAATATCAGCAAAACTTCCGGGGATACCCGGAAGTCACATGAAGGGGTAGGAACCGGGCCCGGAGCATGCGGGAAGCGCGGCAGGTGGAAGCGGGTCCAGATGTGGGTCCGGGTCCGGGCTAGTCAGGGTGTGTTCCCTGACATTTTGGCAGTGCTGCCTCCATTGATGCAGTTGCCCAGTGGGCCAGTTGTAATGCTGGCACTGTCATTAATGCTACCCAACATGTCATTACAGCCTTTTTACCACTTCATGACCAGGCTATTCGATGGCCTAATGCAGATGAGAAGTGGGAGGCTTCAGACTGGGTGGAGAGCATATCTTGCCATGCCTGGAGGTCGGGCTTTTGCATGGTTGATGGAACCCTTATTCCCCTTGCATCCAAGCCTGGACACTTTGGGGAGCAGTTTTTTGACTGTAAGTCCAATTATTCACTCAGTCTTATGGTAAGCATGTTTCACAGCATGGATTACTGGCTCTAATATTCTTCCAGCTCATAACATTGCCAAACCTTCAGATTATCGACTATGTGCTAGGCCCTCCTGGTAGCACCCATGACTCGACTGCATTCAAGGAATCCCGTGCTTTCACGGATGCTGCCCAACTTTTCCGTGATGGTGAGTGGTTGTGGGCTGATTCAGTGTATGCTCTGTCACCTTGGTGCATGGTGCCTTATAAGCACCCACAATCCCTTATCCCATCCAACCACCAATTCAACTATCATTTATCAACAGTAAGTTGCATGCCCGACATGTATTTATAAATCAAGTAGTATTTTTGCATTACAGGTGTGCATAAGGTCTGAACATGTGGTGGGGTATCTTAAAGGTCGGTTTCAGTCACTCCATGGTCTTTGTCAGCAAATCAATTCAGAGCGCGAGTATATGCTTGCCCTTGCATGGGTAAGGACTTGTTTAATTGTCCACTCATTTGCAGCATGTCATGAGGATCACGAGTATGAGAGTGATTTCTGGGAATGGGTTGACGAAGGTATGAGTGGAGAGAATGAGAGAGAGGATGAAGGACCTATTGAAGGTTTTACCTGGGGTGGGATGGGACCACCACTTCCGGGGGAGATGGAAGCGCAACAGAAGTGCCGACATGTACAAGAAGCCCTTTTTGATGAACTGTATTAATTCCTTTTTTAATTAATCACATGACATTATGGGAGTGCGACAAAGTTAACAAAAAGCACAAGTTATGCAAGATGTTGTTGTGGCTGCTGCTGCTGCCAGATCTGTGCCAGTTGTACTTGAAGTTTGAGGGTCTCAATTTCATACTTTCGTTGCATTTTCTCTTTCTTAATCTCAAGCCAGGCCATCTGCTGTGCATGGTAGTACTCTGCCTCTAGCTTGGCTTGCTCCTGGTCAACACGCGTGGCTTCATGGGAGTCAGTAATGGAATCCTTCCAAACTTTTGAACCTGGAGTGCACAGAGATTGCCAGGCCACAGGTCCCTTAGACTTTGGTACAGTGGTTGTCCTTGCCAGTGTACAAGAGGAAGAGGGAAAAGATGCAGAATCTTCTGAATTCAGCCTTGTCTTGACATTGGGGTCGGCCTGGGCATGTGGCAAATTCATATGAAGGAGTGGTGGGTCTGTTTTGAGCAGTGCTGGGTCGATTTTCAAGTCATTCCAAGGGAGTGAGTCTACATCGGGAAGTAGAGTTAGCTCGGAGGCAAGTGGGGTCATAAGAGGTGTTGATGATGGAGATGGATGGGAAGATATGATTGCATCGACCTAAATGAACATATTGTCAGTAAAATTTGAAGCACGCAAGCTTACTGAACCAGCCACCTTGGCATCACCCTTATCATCCTCATCTGGGTGAGTAGAAATGGCTTGTTCTAGGTCACAGACCATTTTTTCGATTCCGGTTGTTGAATTCGTCACCATTTGAAAGGCATACTTGGGATGCTCAGACCACCATGCATGCAGCACATCCCACCAACGGAAAGATGATCAGATCATTTCTTAAGTTAAAAACATAAGTGGTATGCAGAGGTAATTAATAACTGCTGTACCTAACTGGTTATTGTATGCCTCAGATCCATCATCATCATCGTCCTTCAAGTCTCCACCAGTGACCTTCAGTGATTTGCGATAGCCAGTGTATGTCTTTTGTAAACTATAATCAATAAATTGTCAGACAGTCTCCACCGGTTCTAATGAGATATACTTACTATATGATCCGACCCATGACAGATGTAGCATAATGCTCAGGGTCCGATACATAAGCTGTGTGTTCAGCCTCATCTACAATGTCAAAAACTGCCTGGGCTATCTGGCGATAGTATTCAACCTTCGGCTTGCTACCAACAACCTAGGCAATGATGGTTAAGGGATCATAAAATAGTATTCACCTTCTTACCTGACTCCTTCCTTGCATCCTTTACCGAGTCGCTGAACATCTTTAGTCGAACATCTGGGTTGTTTGAGAGGTATTCAATCAAGCGGTCAGTCCACCGTTCATTAAAGTCCCATTGAATCTTTGGGGGGCAGGGATCTGATTTGGCCTCAGCCTTGACAGCTGATGTGGCATCATCACTCCTAGAAACACGAGAATGGCATGTGGACCGTGGCTGAGATGGTCCCCCCTCTTCAAGATTCCTTTGTTTGGGGGGCATGTAGCAAGGGGAGCAGTACAGCAGTGGAAGTGGCAGAGATGGGGTGATGGTGAAGAAGGAAACAAACAGGTGACCTAGGTAGCAAACTGTACAGTTAGTATTAGCTAAGAGTTTGTGGACTTACTCAGTTTTAAAGCCGAGTTTAGATGAGTTGAAGTGAGTGACTTTAGGCGAATTGGGGCTCCTGAGCCCCAAGTCGAGTAGGACCTAAAGTGGCGACTTTAGATCTAGTTTTGATGCACTTTTGTCACTTTAGGTTCACTTGAGAAATCCCACTTGAGATCCAGTTTAGGTGAATTTATTCAACTGTGAGCCCCCCTACTGTAAATAAATCCTGTAAATATGAGGTAGAGCTTGAAAAAGGAAGGCAACCCAAGGAGTATAAAAGGGAGACCCTTTCTGCGACTTTTCACCCCCCCCTCAGAGAAGTAAGAAAATAGAGTATTATTTTTCTCAAGCATTTCTGGTTGTCACTCCAGTGCAAAAAAGTGATATACAGTTAAGATTGCCACTGTAGTAAAAGGCAGCAATTAGGGAGAGAAATATTAAGTAAATATTTCAACAGGAGAGCTGGTTAACACTCCAGATTTCAAAGTGTAAACACAAAACAGTTATTTTGCTACTGTTAAAACAAGCAATAAAATAAGACAAAAAATAAAACAAACTCAAGGGATACTTCAGACACAATCTAAACCCATTAACTGAGTAGAATCTTTGAAACTTCACCAAGTAGAAGATTTAAAATCCAAATTAAACGATCCTACACGGAATTACACCCAGACAAATTGAGAAATTACAATAGAGGAACAGCTCCACAGGGCTTGGTTTATCTGTAAGTCAATTCTCAGAAACTTTTAGACTAACCCATAAAATAGAATTAGCCAAAATGCTATTATAATTACAACAAATATTACTAGTACACTTCCCCATCCTAACTAAAGAACCAGGGAACAGCTTGGTGGTGGTCTCATTTGAACCTCCCAACTGACCTTCCTTTGTTCTCTCCTTCAGTATGCATGGTAGGCATAGTGGGAAGCCATCCAGGGTGTCTGAGCCAGATGGGTTAACGGTACAATGATACAAAGGAAAGTGGTCTGTGTAAATAGAACAAAAGAGAAAGAGGAAAGAGAGAAAAGTGTCAGGGCATGGACAGTTATCTGGCCGGCCCGGACCCCTATCCAGATAGGTTGAGTACCCGTAAGTCGATATCTGCATGTGATTTGCTGTAGTTAGAACACAGGCTGTATTCAATGTGCTATTTCCACTATCGCATCATCCCTTACCCGTTATCGCCCCCTTATCCACATGATCTATTCTCCTATCTCATGTCGCTTCTCTATCGGCTACCATGTGTTCCCAATGTAGCCACACTCTTATGAGTTGTGGAACTCATGTATATAAGGCCTTATCGCCAGCTGGGTTGGCCCCCCAGCTTTTACAACAACTAGTTTCCCAGGGAGATCCTTATGCGTGAACTGACATGCGAACTCTGACAAAAAGGGAAGAGAGAGAAGAAGGAGAAGAAGGAGGAAAGGGAGGAGGGAGGAGGGAGAAGGATGGGTAATGGGGGAGTGGGTGAGGTGGGCCCAGGTGGGCCCAGGTGGAGCCAGGTCAGGCAGGTGTGCCCTGACAGTATCTGATTTTTCAGTGCAGGTGCGACAAATTATGGCCATGAATTACTTCATCAAACACTGGATCTGTGGTTCCACTTCACTGAGGCAATGAAGAATGCAGTTTTTAACAACTACATTATCTGTCCTTCTGGTCAGGGTGATGGTCGCTGCAAAAGGGATCTACTCCAAGAGCATAACAACTTTTGGCTAAAGAGGGTCTTCAATGGCCACTTAGCTAAGTTTGATTCTAATTTCTTGCATGAAGCTATTGCTCTGAATATTGTGCCACTCAAAGAACTTGCCCAAACTATCTTACAAAAATTTGGCCTCAGTAACATATTCTCAGGTCATGCCAATGACATTACTGCTTATATCAACTACCTTGGACATTCCTATCTTGCACAGAAACATTTACTAACCCAGTTGAGTACAGTCATTCTTGGTCACTGATGGCATCAATCAAGGGACTGCAAAACTTGAAGAGGGTGCATTGCAGAAATTCTTGAACAAGTATTTCTATGCAAAATAATGTATTTGATGACATATCTCTTCAAATCAGTATAGTTTTATTGTTCAGTGCCCAGTTACTGTGGTGACAATTGACACATCTTGGCTTGCATAGGCCCATGATTCAACTCCCTCCACAGCTGGATTCCCACCAACCCCTTCGACACTTTGTTTCAGCTTCCCTGCCCCCTTTGGCCATTCATGTTTCTGGTTTTTTGAAGCATATTTTGTGTTTAGTTCCCAAATAAGGATCCATAAAGCTTTGTGGTGAGATATTGTCATGCATGAAACCATGTTTAGCCCTTCCAGATAGTTTCCCAGTTTCAGCTCAACTGTGAAAGAGTGCACTTGCTTGGCAAGCTTCTTTAATTCCCCATCACTAATAATGTGTCCAGTTGTGAAGTTCTCATGCCTTGATGCTGGGAGTGCAATGAGTCTGTGTAAGTTCCATCATGTTTCTCGGAGCTATCAAGCATCTCAGGTGTGATTTTGATGTCTTCTGGTGCATAGATTGTGAATGCCCCATCACTCCCATCACGACTTGCTCTCCATTGTGTCATTGTTAGAGACCAGAAGCGAGACGAAGGAGTTGTCTCCATGACAGAGGGCTTCAGCCTCAGTGACTCAGACCAGGAGCACTGTGCCTAGTTACATGTCCATGCCCTAATTTACTTACTGGCAGAGAGAACTAAAAGGGGGATCAACTCTAGTCGATTTTATCACTGGGGTGTAACCTATGTACAAGTTAAGTATATATATAGTTATAGTGAGGGTGGGCCCGTGAATGGCAGGACCAAGCAGAGCAGAGCTAACAGAGTTAAATGTTAGCTGACTGGATATTACCGACGAGTCAGGTTACAGGGTTAGCAGAGTAGCAGGCTATAATTCAGAAACAGAAAGGAGGGATAGGCCTGAAGGTAGACTTGCAGGGCAAGCAAGTGAATTGCCCAGTGGGGGCAGGAGTGCGCCAGCGGACATCGGAGCTGTCTGGAGGCCTTTGGGGCTCCGTACTTAGGGAGGCATAGGTAATATATAGAAAAGAGGGGGTGGTGACCATTGAGGGAGTTGGAGGTGATTGCGGAATACAGGGGCTCCAAGGTTAGTGAAGAAGGAGCAGAGGTAATCTGGAAGGATCAGAGGTAGTGGAGGATGATGGCTGTAGATGGATATGACAGTCATTTCTTCAAATGACTTTGGCAAGTCTACACATACCACACACCAGACTGGCAAATTTAGTCCCACATTGGCACAAATTGTTGCAACAACACAGTGTGTTAGAGATGGGTGGATTCAGACGACTCCGGAGTGGAATTGGAGACTTAGCATGGAGGGACCTTGGCCTCAGCGACTCAAGCAGAGCGCTGTGCCATTGCTGTTTGTCCATTTGGTCCTTAATTTCACAGTAGGCAAGCAGGAAGTCTCTAGGGGCATTTCAGGTTGATTTCGGACTAGCCTCCTACGAGTATGTACAAGCACTGATATATATAATGGAGGGGGCAAAAGCACAAGGAAACGAAGGGGAACTGAATCGGAATGAAGGCATCCGAACGGGAACAAAGGGATGACAGAAGCGGAGCAGTACCGAAGGTCATAAGGCAGAACCTGTGATACGTCCGAAAGGAGGTAAGGAGGGCGAGGCCCAGAGGGGCAGGAGGATGAGGGGAAGTGGGGAGGATGACTAACTGGCTAGAATGGGAAGAAGCAGCAGTCCAAATAGGGATGAGGGGAAGATGCAAGAAATACATTACAAGCGGCAAAAGTACCGAAGATGATCCGTTGTCAGAGTCTTGGATTATTGTCAATCAATAACCCTTGCCACTTATTGTTTATTGATCTGTTCCTCGTTTCCAGTTCCCGGGCTCTTGTCCTTATTTAGTTTGACAATCCCCACTTATCTCCGCACCGGACTGACTGGCCTTTCTATATTCCCTCTTGCCTATTTATATACCTTGTAAATACTTTTGGGGACCTGAGTCTGAAATCAACTAGAGTACCCCCCCTGTCTGTTCTGAGTCCCTCCTTCTGCAAAGGGGGCTTCCCCCCTCTGAGTCCGTGCTCGCGGAGTCCACGCTGTAGGAGAAATAACGGCCACACTATGGAAACCCATTATGGAAATATGCCAGATAAATCACAAAACCTCATACGACAAGTAGATATGAGAACATAGAAGAACCTGAATTTTAACGAATTTTACGAATTTTTACGAATTATTATGACTATACACGATAAATCGAAAGAAAGAAAAATAACAAAAATACTTCAAGCTTACCATCAACGAGACGGAATTCTCGGGGGAATTTATAGCAAATATTAAACCAAGAATTAGGACAATCGACCAAGATTTGACTATAAAAATAATCAGAGAACCTCCACGGAAACTACTTTCCCACGTCCGCACATGTAGCAAGGATGGAAGTACCACGGAACAAAGATTCCTCAGGAACTAATGCAAAAGTCAAAGTCGTGTTTATAATAGGAAATGTAGATGTCCCCCAAACGGAACCAATGAGAGTAATTACAGGGGAAACTACCCATAAATGACGGAGATATGACTAAAACTCCTGCAAAACGAGGACAATGTCTAAAAAGCAAGCGCGAAGATTAACTAGTAACGACCGAGACAAGCTTGATAGCCCATTAGAAAGGAAGGGATCTACTCTTAATCCTCCCAAATTTCCATAATAAAAGGATCATGCGTTAATGAGAAATCCAATAACGGGAATAGTGACATCAAAAGTCAGAGCTCAGGGACAAGACGATGATTGCGTAGGATCCATAATTAAAACATACAACGAAATTTACACGGAAATTATGAAAAATAGGAAACTATAGCTATGCAAATTCTCAGCCCAAACGGTCCAGCCGTTGTGAAGTTATACCCATGACGGGAATATAGGAATCCGCATCATGTGTAATGACACGTGAGGGTGGCGATGCGCAGGGAACCGGCCGTCGGAACCGAGATCCGCACTTCGGCAGATCGCGAAGACCAATTTCCGTCCAAATAAGGAAGAGCCCGGTCAAAACAAAGCACGGAAAGTGCAAAACAACCTTAGATCATGAGGGAAAAATCTGAAATAAATCACAGAAGCCCATATGAAAGAAATAAACACCCGCGCATATCATAAATCCCGAACAAATAAATGAAAACGGCTCCCGCATACGAACGATGCATGTGATTACCGAATGTGTGCGCGAATCTTTGCTAACTCAACGAATACCAGGAAATAGGACACAATATTAGTACCATTGGAAAGGTGGGAATAAATGAAAATTTATGATACTAAGAACGTGAGAAAACATCCAGAAATGAATGAGATACAAGGACATGAAGTTAGAAACCTGAAAATGCGCGGGAAAACAGCTTCAAGAGGTCCAGAGTCCTAAATAAAATAGATAAAAATATGATATCTTCAAGGACAACCTACTATAACAACCAACGATACATATGGAGGATTAGGATGCGATAATACAAAAGGAAATCAGAGAATATGAACAAAATTCACAAAAACCACTAAACTACGACGGACCATGGCGGGAATTTTAGGGAATGATATTCTAATGAGGTGGAGAGCTATAACACATTCGTTTGAGTAATTCTTGACTACTACCAACTTTTTCTTTCAGTTTCAAACCTGAATAATTCACTCATTTACCATTTCAGTCTCATTTTAACTAAATGTCACTAAATAAAAATGGAATAAATCAGCTGGAGGTCTCAACACAGCCGTACGCATAGTAATGCGAAGTTTGAATTCAGAGTCATCGAGTCATAGCAAATTTAATGGTATATATATAGAATTTGAAATAGGTAACTGCGGCAAATGCAGTGCAGCCAAGTTCTAATTAACCATTAAAATAGCTTAGGCGAGGGAGGACAATAAGAATTCTAGGCGCAGTCTGACCGCAGTAGAACCGCAGTTCAGCGCAGCAAAAGCACAGTAGAACTATAGCATGAAAATTTCATTTTTATTCAGTTTAAGAAAAATACACTGTAAATAAATCCTGTAAATAGAAGGTAGAGCGTGAAAAAGGAAGGCGACCCAAGGAGTATAAAAGGGAGACCCTTTCTGCAACTTTTCGCCCCCCTTAGAGAAGTAAGAAAATAGAGTATTATTTTTCTCAAGCATTTCTGGTTGTCACTCCAGCGCGAAAAAGTGATATACAGTTAAGATTGCCACTGTAGTAAAAGGCAGCAAATAAGGAGAGAAATATTAAGTAGATATTTCAACAGGAGAGCTGGTTAACACTCCAGATTTCAAAGTGTAAACACAAAACAGTTATTTTGCTACTGTTAAAACAAGCAATAAAATAAGACAAAAATAAAAACGAACTCAAGGGACACTCCAGACACCATCCAAATTCATTAACTGAATAGAATCTTTGAAACTTCACCAAGTAGAAGATTAAATTCAAGTTTAAATCCAAATTAAACAATGCTACACAGAATTACACCTAGACAAATTAATAAATTTCAATAAAGAAAAAGCTCCGCAGGGCTCGGTTTATCTGTAAGTCAATTCCCAGGAACTTTAAAACTAACCCATAAAAATAGAATTAGCCAAAACACTCGGATTGGTACTTTATTTACAATAAATAACACTAGTACACTTCCCCATCCTAACTAAAGAACCAGGGAACAGCTTGGTGGTGGTCTCGTTTGAACCTCCCAACTGACTTTCCTTTGTTCTCTCCTTCAACGCTCCTCCTACAGGTCCGCTCCACCCGCAAGTCTTGTTTGAAGTCTGCTGTAAGTGTCAGTTTGTAAATACGGGATCTCCCCCAAACGTCAAGCTCAGGGCACAGCGCTCCACCTGAGTCGCTGAGGCCGCGATCCCACTCTGCTAACTCTGAACAGCGCTTCCGGATGTGCCGCATAATTCCGCCCGCATATCTGCGCGCGCGCTCCAACAGACCTCTGCATCACCTCTGACCCTGACTCAGACAGAAACCCATTCCGTCTCCAGTCCGTCTTCTGACAGTCTGCCTGACTCTGACAATATTCCTCACTCTGACAATATTCCAGACTCTGACAGTACTTCCGACTCTGACAATAATCCCGTCTCTGACAGGACCCCCAGGACAACCAGCAGCGCTCTGCCTGAGTCGCTGAGGCCGAGGTCCTTCCATGCTAAGTCTCCGATTCCACTCTGGAGTCGTCCGAATCTGCCCGGTTCTAACAGGGGGCATTGGGACAAATGCTGGGTGGGGTTCAGACATTGTGATGGAGTCAACATCTTTTGGAACAGTTTGACGTGTCTGAGATGTGTCACTGGGCCCTTGCAGGCCCAGGTCACCACCTTCTGATCCAGTGGTGTCTGCCTCCACCATGGGGCCAGTGTAAGGACTGGCCATGTTGGCAGGAGCTTGGATCAGCTCCTGTCCCATTTTAGACTCTTATGGGTTCTGTATCATGTGATATGTGGAGTAATTAAGTGAAAACCAATCAATTAGAACCAAAATTGCCACTTGTTAAACATCTGTAAAACCATATGAACCACCTTCCCTATTCTTTTCCCCTTCCTGCACCAAGAACAGAGAAAAATGGGTGCCTCCAGCCCCATTTTTGTAACAAGCACCATCCCCACAAGGTGTTTCAGATATACATCATGTGTCTGCTTCTTGTACCTCCCCCCCCCAGAGCCCATGCTGCTCCATGTCCTGCCACCACACTTGCTCTAGCTCTTCACACCACTCCTCCACCTGCTTCCATAGCTCCTTCACCTGTTGCTCCAGCTCTTTCACCTGCTGCCCCTGCTCTACCTCCACCTCCACCTGCAGCCCCAGCCCTGGCTGCAGCTCCAGCCCCTCCAGCAGCAGCTCCCACCTCACAAGCAGCAGCTCCTGCTTCTCCAGCAGCTCCTGTCGCCTCTCCAGCAGCTGCGGCTGCCTCTCCAGCAACTGTGGCCACCTCTCCAGTGGCTCTGGCAGCCCCCCTGGCAGCGAGGGCTGCCTCTCCAGCTCACCCAGCCCCTCCAGGTCCTCCAGGTCCTCCAGGTCCTTCCCCTGCACCCCCAGCTGCATCAACTTCAGCTGCTGTTGCTGCAGTTTCTGCTCCTCCTGCTCCAGCTCCAGCTGCCATGCCAGCTCCAGCTGCTCTTCCAGCTGCTCCAGCTGCTTCCTCAGCTGCCTCATCTGCATCTGCTCCTGCTCCTGCTGCCTCTGCCACCTCTGCCACCTCTGCTGCCACCTCTGCTGCCGCTTCTGCATGTCAGAAAGCCAAAAAAGCCTCTGATAGGCATCATTTACAACAGGCTCAATGTGGGCTAAGATAGTCCTAGTTTTCTATCTTCAGAGTTAGTGGTGTGAACCTGATCCAACAGATGATCATTTACCATGAAGAAAAGAGTTTCCCATGCACCTTGGACAATATAATCCACTTTCCCAATCATCCTTAGCACTTTCATCCATTGCAATAAAACACCCTCTTCAGCTCCACTCCCTTGACCAGTGAACTTCTCTAGTGCATGCCTGACTTCTTCATCAACTGACTGCAGCTTGCCCAGATGGGATGTCCAAAAGCAGCATGCATACTGCACTTCCTCCCTAACTACTGAAGTGGACCTGATGCTAAAATCCCACATGTCCACTTTGAGTGAATTCCCTGGCACAATCCCATCTACAGTTGGTCCCAACTCAGCAATGAGAAGATTCAGACACTGGAGAGCCATCCACTGCTCATGCTTCTCCACATCAACCCTGAGCTGAGGATTCTTGCATCGCCATAAGATAAAATCAGGAAAGGAAGGGTGGTAGACTTCAACTTTTTCTTCTGGATGTGGTAGTGGCACAATGGATTGGATGTGTGTAAGCAGTAACTTTGTATCAGAAATCTTGGTGAAAGCACCCAGCCCTTTCAGGGTCAATGGATCCTTGACCAGGACAATGGTCTGTAGAAGACAATGGAGCTCTGCAAGCATGCCTGGTGGGATTTTGGCAACACAAGCAGACAAAACTGCTTCATATAGCTTATCCAGCATAGGGACCTGCATCAGCTTCCTGACTGCCATTCAGGATGGAGTCCAGTTGATGAACAGGATGCCAAACATCTTCATCATTTATGAACTTGATGGCAGTGGCAGCCCAGATGAAAAGCCGGCCAGCTTTTCCCACAAGAGCTGAGATCATATCTGGTGAAGGCCACCCATCTGGAACATCATTTCTAAATCGTTGACAAATAGATTGGAGTTCATGCCGAAGATATAACCCAATGTCATGTGAGGCAACAAGCTTATCAACTTCATGAATCACAATTTTGTCAACATTCATGGCTTGGTTGAAACCCATAGTGATATGGCGTTCTGGTCGGCTTGTTATGAGTATACGGAGACAAGGGATGCCAGAGCAGTCAAGGACATGGTGGAGCAATTCTTTCGCTCCATCCACTTCATCTCGCTTACACTCATCTAGGGCATCAATTATCAAGAGGAGAGGCTCGGAAAGCATGAGATCTTTCAGGGGGGTGAAGAGGAGGGTGGAATATTGGGTGGCAAGGGAGGCATGAGGAAGCGTGTCATCCTTCTTCAGAGCCTCTGCAACAGCTGCACCGAATTTTGGAAGCTTCTTGGCAAAGTCCCGCACAACCGTCCCAAGGAAGAGCTTCGCATTGGACAACTCGGCATGTTGACGGACAAAGAAGAAGGTTGATCCAAGGAGGCCAGACTCTTTGGCGTACTCCGCAACGGTGCACGCAATAGTCGACTTGCCGATCCCAGCTAGACCATTCATCCAGAACACTGGCCTCGCTGTATCACTGATAGGTCGATGCAACCATTGCTTAACACGATCAATAATTTCACTTCGCGTTCCAGGAAAACAGCTAGACGGAGCACCAGGCCGGTTGGTGTCATAGCCGGCTTTGAGAGTACGCGGAAGCGTGTTGAGAAGAGACTCTAACTGCTTCGCATCTTCATCCGAGGCTTCGTCGCGTTTGCGCACCTGGAAACAGTCAGCACCTATGATGTGTACACGGGGATCGAAAAACCACCTTAATCTCTTCGCGAAGTTGCTAGGGTATTGGTCAGCTTGGTGCTCTGAGGAAGCCAGTGCAAGCTGTACCGTACCTCGATCTGGTCATGTACATGTAAGTGAAGTCGGACCGCTTGTGCAGCCTATGTCCACAGATTAGCCCTTCGAGTGTGATACATGAAGTGGCGGAAGGATTTCTACTTGAAAGGCCGCTACCGCATCGCGTATCCTTCCCCCAGCCTTCCCCACCTCGGCTGCGATTGGCTGAAGATTCGCCCATCGGTAGCCCAGGCTCTTGTTCCCGTACGATCTCAAAGGCGAAGTAGCCGTTGCGAATTCACTGGGAGGGACAGTCGGAATGCTGACTCTGAGAAACACTCAGGATATCTGAACATACCTCGATAAAGCATCGATGGCTTCGCTTAGCTCGGAAGGAACAGAAGTCCTCCCTCCGTATTTTTCAAGCGGCTTCGATACTGACTGGTTAAAAAATTTGATGCTGTCCTCGAGCTGACGAATCGCATCCACATTTGCGCTGACTGTCTGTGAGGGAAACTATTATCAGCGTTACGTTCCCAGCGCAGCAGTTACAGAACCTACGTCCAACTGGCGAACTATTTCAAGTGAAACCCCAATCGCGGTTTTGAGCCCAGGAACAGGGACACTACCTAGACTCGCTTGAGCAATATGCAGCATGCCCAGAATACCGTTCCAAACGGTACGAAAACCCGTATCACTTGAGGGTGCCACTGCCACTTCGGGTGCGGCTACCGCTGCGGGTGCAGGTGCGGGTGTCCTTAACACAGTAGAGGAAGGCCGTGGTGCTGGCATGGGTGCGGGTTCAGGAGAGGAAGGACCTAGAACCGGCATCGATGTAGCTCCCTTCTTCGGAAATTTCTCCTTTAATTTGTTGAGGAATTTTGGCATGTTGGACAGATAAGGAAGATTGACAATGACGGGAAAAATATATGATCAACACTGTTGTAATCACGAATCACGGGAACCGGACACAGCCGGTGTTTATGTGGAGGACTAATGTGGAGGGAATTACTAACTAGAGTGCATGCTTTGCATCGCAGTCACCTGCACAGCACCTTTCAATGAATGATAGTCAATTTCTTACAATCAAATGAGCAAGCCGCATATGGTACAAAGCAGTGTATACAGTATTTGCGGCAGAGACGTTGAGATGGCGTACTGTACTCATATGACCAACTACCGGCATGGTCCCAAGCGTGACACAAAATTCCCAGCCGGCATCCCATTTTTATGCGTGACACCCAACCGGCAAGCATGACTTGAAAGGAAAGCAGTGCCCGGAGTTGGCCGAGCCAGATTTATTTTATATTGATCTCAAGCCATATTTGGCAACCAGTAAATACAAAAATTTGAAACATGTTTGCTGTCCCCGTAAAAATTTTCTCACTCACTGGATGGGTTTTCTCTTGCACACCGCATCTGCTCTTGCACAGATGAGCCTATTTCATACAGTGGCATCCCAAAAGCCCTCATTGGGCCCTACTTTCCTAACGAAACCCTGACTGTCACCGAGTTTCTCCAGTTCAAACTCCCATCATTCCAAACAAATTTACAGACATCTGCATGTCTCAGTCTTTGCCCACCATCCATCAAAGAATTAAGTGAGCATGAACTCCGGAACATGCCCTGCCCTCCCTGCCCAGTGATAAAAGAGCTGATTTCTCAATACAATCCCAACCACACCAACCCTCCTCATTCCGTCAAAATCGGCATATGTTATACCACTATTGACATTCTCCGTGTCTGGGAAACCATATTTTGAGTACAGAATGTCCAGAGGTTCTGGAAAGAATCAGAGAAGTTAGTTGAGGCATGGGCAAACCATCTGTCATATCCATCCCCAGCCATTGACTTCCATTCCCTCCGATCCCTCCAGTCTACCTCCGCTCCTTCTTCACTAACCTCGGAGCTCCTGTATTCCGCAATCCCCTCGGTACCCCTCGATGGTCACCACCCCCTCCTTTCAATTTATTACCTACGCCTCCTAAGTATGGAGCCCCGAAGACTTCCGGACAGCTCCGACGTCTGCTAGCACACTCCTGCCTCCGCTGGGCAATACACTCGCCTGCCCTGCAGAGCCCACCTTCGGGCTTATCCCTCCTTTCCCTTTCTGGGTTATCGCCTGCCTTTCCGTTAACCCCATGACCCGACTCGTCGGTAATATTCAGTCGGCTAATGTTTAACCCTGTTAGCTCCACTCCGTTCGGCTCCGCCATTTGCGGACCCGCCTTCGCTGTAACCATATATATATCCAACTTGTACATAGGTTACACTTCAGTGATAAAATCGACTAGAGTTACCCCCTTTCGGTTCTGGTTGCCAGTTAGTAAGTTAGGGCATGGGCGTGTTACTTGGCACAGCGCTCTTGGCATAAGTCGCTGAGGCCGAAGCCCTCCGCCATGGAGACTTTCCCTCGTCTCAACCTGGTCTCTGACACCATCACTCTGCTCACCGTGTTGCTATCATGGTGGCTCAAAAGCAGCTTCTATCATGCAACTGGAACACAAAAGTGCTTGGATTCTCAAAGTCAGCACTGAGTACTGTGGGAGGGCTGATGCATCACCTCACTTTCTCTTGTCTTGTGACAACTGACATCTCATACTACATCGAGCTTCTTGCAACGGCCTTGGTGGCCAGTGATGTAAAGGCCAGGCTTTTGAGTCCCCTTGACATTCAGTACCTAACTGGATGCACAATGCAAGCAGGTGGCTCAGTAACTTATGGGTGCAATCATACCTGTAAAGATCTCTGTCAATTGGGGTCAGAGCTCTCATCTGGATCTGAATCCCAATTTGGTGGAATCATGCATGCTAATAATAATCACTGGATCGCATTTTCAGTTTTCCCTAAGGAATCAGTGATTTACCTTGCAGATTCTTTACATTGGGAAACAGGAGGTGCTGACTTACCTGTTGCAGCAAAGGAAGTGGCAAACATTCTTCAATGGTGGCTCAATGAATCCTATTCTGGATTGAACAAGTCAACACCGACATTTCAAATCACTTCACTCCCAGTTGCTCACCAGAATGATTCCTCCTCATGCGGCTTCTTCGCCCTCAATGCCCTGATGCACCATCTCATCCCAACCAAATACCTGCTCTATGCTAGCAATGACATTGCTATGTTGCGTGTTGAATTTTTGATGGCAATCCTCAATCATCATGTTGAACAGGTAAGTAATCTCGTGTAACTGCAATCAAATGGGGACTCACCACACTGTGATTAGATACCACCTGTCCCAGCAGTGACTTCTGTGGCAGAAATGCCAATGGCATCAATGATTGAACCCAGGGTGACATCAGTCCACATGACAACAACAATCATGGAAGTGATGGCTGCCCCAGCAGAGACAGTCCCATTCACAGTAGCTGAGCATTCAACAAAGCCAGCTCCAACACCAATGACGTCAAGAATGTGCTCATCTGTGGCACAGTTGACCAGCCCTGCAGCCTTGCCAAGTAGCCCAGCCCCAACGGGCACCTTGCCCAATTCTGATGTCAAGAAACCGAAGGAGAAAAAGAAAAAATTGGACTTCACCATCCAGGAGGGGGAAGAGGGCTGTGGGTTGCTGTGATTCTTGAGCCGTGTCAGTCATGAAGAATTTGATCGACAAGCATTGATTAGATTTAAAAGGATTGGTGAGGGATCTGAAGAACAGAGGGTGGAAGAGGAACTGGAAGCAAGGAAGAAAGTTGAATGGAAGTGAGCAAATGCATGAGAACGACAACAGCATTGCCGAGCACTGTTGGCAGAAGGAGATGGTGATGCGAAAAAAAAGGTGAAGGAAGTTGATTCATCAAGGTCGCCACAGTTTCTAATAGATCATCCTAGCACATGCTTGATGTGGATATGGACCCCGGGACTTCAAGCAGCTCAGTTGTGATTGCAGAGATGTCACGGCCAAAATGCCACATTGAGGAATGGGTGAGGACCAGAAGCGCCAGAGGGCAACTCACCGTGTGCAAAATGTCGTCCGGCCTCCCAGAAAAACAATGCCAAAGTTTGCTAGGACAATAAATTGGTTCCAGCCCATTTTCTGGACATTGATCATTGAAGTGGCCATGACCGTTGGCTGGTCAATGAGCCCCACCGAAATTGTGAAGGGATGTCAAGCAAGAAGCAAGAATCTATTTCACTCACTACGTGCCGATGTTGTTCGTAAATGGATTGATCACACAGGGCCATGCCCACGTTGGTCTGATGAAATGCTGGAGAAGGTTGCGAAAGAAAACTGCCCAGGAGGGAATATTACAAAGAGGGGGATATTGGTGAGTTAATGACGATGCAAGGCAGTATGTAGGGAGCTGAAAGGACTGGGATCTACAGGCAACCCATCTAGACACTGTTGCAGGAATCAAGCAGACTTTGTTGATGTCAGGGCACATACCACCCGTGTCCGGACCCGCTCCACTTTCTGCGCGCGCTTCCCGCACCGCATGATCCGTGTGCCACATGCTCCGGTCCCCGGATCCTACCTTCATGTGACTTCCGGGTATCCCCGGAAGATTTCGCCATATTGGGCCACTGTGGGAAAGTGAGAAGTTAACCTTCTTCTCACTTTCTTACCCACAGTAGTGCTATGCCCTGAGATGGGCTGCTGTTACAGGTTCGCCTGTGGGCCATAGAGAGGGGTCATGGGGACCCAGGGTCCGTCCCCTGACAGTTGAGTGTCCGACAAGCTGGTGCCGCATTGGATGCTCACCAAATCCGTGGCATTATCATTGTGCAGATTCAATATACCCAGCCAAGTATCCTAACAACTGAAGAAGGATGGCAGTGTGTTTGCTGCAAGCATGGGTTGGGTGCAGAAGTTTCTGAAGGAGGAGATGAATTGGAGCTTGCGATGAGCCACACGTGCATCACAAAAGATTCCGTCCTATGCGGATGAAAAAATACGATCCTCGTTGCTTCAGCAAGCCCACTCCATCTGTCAATATGCAATCCCTGGTAGTCTTCATGTGAACTCAGATCAGACACAAGTTATCTATCAGCAGAATGCAACCTCCACTTACGAAAAGAAGGGATCACAGCAAATATCCACTGTTGGCCATGATGAGAAGCGGGCATTCACCCTTAATGTGGCTGTTTCTGCAAGTGGAACTCTACTACCATTCCAGGCCATCTTCCGTGGCAAGACTTCTGCGAGTGTCCCTTCAGCAAGTGCCCCAAGCTACAATGAGGCCATGCAACTTGGGCTTCTCTTCAAGTTCTCTGGGAATGATACATACTGGGCCAACATCTCAACCATGAAATCATTTGTAACACGCATTTTAGTTCCTTATCTCAATGCTGAAAAGGAATGGCTCTCTCTTGATCCACTGCAGGAATGTCTTTGGCAACTCAATGTGTGGTCCGTTCACACATCCCTTGAGTTTCATGCTTGGCTGTATCAAATGTACCCATGGATAATACTTGACTATGTTCCTGGGGGATGCACGGGTCTCTGGCAGCCCTGCAATGTCGGTATACAGCGCTTGTTGAAACATGCTGTGAAGCGGGCCCAGCAATCGGCCGCTATCAAGGAAGTTTATTCCCAATTGCAAAGCGGGGTTGACTCATGCCACATAAAACTTGACACCAAGCTTGGCATACTGAGGGACCGTGTCCCCGAGACTTTAGTGTATGCTTTTCAAGCCATGAATCATCAGGATAGGATTCAAAAAGTGAGTCGATTGCAATACTTAAACTACTTATAAGTATGTGGAGTGCTAACTAGATCCAGGCTTTTGAACTGTGCTGCTCGGGTGATTTCAACCTTTCCCATCACAGTCTAACTTCCTGTCCACTATGCTTAATCCTCGATTCCCTTCACAAAACTGATCCGGATCTTGCAAAGGCGATAACCGCACCATGAAGGCAACCCCTCAATGACACTGATGTCCACCCCGGCTCTGATTGTATTGCACACAAGGTCGGGTTCACAGATACTCCGGAAGATGATGCAGATGTGATGGTGGAGGAAGTTTTTGAGTATATGGTAGGGGATGTGGTACCTGACAGGCTTGAGGCAGTCAATGATGGACTGAGGGTGGCATCCACTTGTGCCGAGGAGGCTGAGCCAGATACTCTTGGTGAGACTAGCTCACTTTCCCTTTCTGATCCCCAGGGCTGCAAGCCTCAAGGCTGTGGAATGCGAGCCAGGCAGACACGCAATTTGGATGAAGAAATGGCAATTTTTCGTTTTTAAATGTAATTACTTTTTTAAATACATTCACACAGCCACTGGGCAGCCAAGTGCTGTTTGGGCGTGACATAAGTTGGCCAGCCTTTTCCTTCATGTGATGCATGACGTGGCTGTGTTTTGAGCCGGACCTCCTGGCTCTTGTGATGTGTGACAGGTAGTTGCTTGTGTGAGTACAGTACTTGCAGACAATGAAAACAAAACATGGACAATTGTACGAAGGAGAAGAAACAATTCTGTGAAAGTCAAAGTTGAAGAGAATGTTTATAGCGAAAAGATAGACAAGCTTACAGAGAGTGCGCTCAGATGGAGAAGCGGAAAGAGAAGCCATCTCATCAGGAGGCTTGGGACCATCACCCAAGTAGCCTACACCAATCAGTTTGAAAGCAGCTCTTTTTAGATTGGAACCCGTTTCAGTGAACCTCTCTAAAAGGCATTGAGGGACAATGATATCTCCGGGTTTCAGATCGTAATCATAAGCAATATTTTTGTCTTGCTGGAAATTGTAAGAACCGAGAGGTTTGGCATCATATATGTTTTAAAAGGACCCTCCTACAAGAAGGAATGAGTTGTGAAATGAAGGAAAGAGCAACGTACCTCGCCAGTGAAAGCAGACATTGGCACGGAATCATAATTAATGTTGATGTTTTTGACATTTTCTGGACAGGGTGATAGAATATATTTAATTTGCAAGCAGAAACATACTGTTTGAAAACATGTAGATGAACACGCAAGCATTTATAAATGCTTGACATGTGAGAGGGATCAAATCAATAGCAAAGTTGCTCCCATATTGTTTAGCGCATTTGATAATGCCAAGGAAGAGAAAGCAGAGCCTGGTACCAATTGCATTCTTACTGATTTTGTTCTTGAATGCATAGGTTTTGTTGCCAGACAAGAATGTGAAGCGAGTGTCCACCAGTTTGAGCAGGTTAATTGTAATAATAGGGGGTTTCATGGTCGGCTAGATTGTGTCAAGGTCCATCCCTTGTCCAGAGGGGGGCCATAGTGATGAGGTCCGGGAGTGGCACTGGAGAGTCTTCTCCAGCCACTAACTCCTCAAAGTCACTGAGGGGACTTGCCCTGGGCTTCACAGGGAATGAGTTGATGTGCATTAGGAAGTAGTGTCATATCCATACATACTGGATCCCGAACCAACTCCCGGACCTCCATCTTCACCACTTTCGCCGCCTGTAATGTATCTTTCACGTTTTCCCCTCACCCTTATTTGGACTGCTGCTTCTTCCCATTCTAGCCAGTTAGTCATCATCCCCACTTCCCCTCATCCTCCTGCCCCTCTGGGCTTTGCCCTCCTTACCTCCTTTCAGATGTACCACAGGTTCCGCCCTATGACCTTTGGTACCACTCCGCTTCTGTCATCCCTTTGTTCCCATTGTAGGAGAAATAATGGTCACACTATGGAAACCCATTATGGAAATATGCCAGATAAATTACAAAACCTCATACGACAAGTAGATATGAGAAAATAGAAGGGCCTGAATTTTAATGAATTTTTACGAATTTTTACGAATTATTATGACTATATGCGATAAATCGAAAGAAAGAAAATTAGCAAAAAGATTTCAAGCTTGGCATCAACGAGACGGAAGTTTCGGGGGAATCTATAGCAAATATGAAACAAAGAATCAGGACAATCGACCAAGATTTGACTATAAAAACAATCAGAGAACCTCCACGGAAGCTACTTTCCCACATCTGCACATGTAGCCAAGGATGGAAGTACCACAGAACAAGGATTCCTCAGGAACTAATGCAAAATTCAAATTTGTGTCTATAATAGGAAATGTAGATGTCCCCTAAACGGACCCAATGAAAGTAATTACAGGGGAAACTACTCATAAACGACGGAGATATGACTAAAACTCCTGCAAAACGAGGACAACGTCTAAAAGGCAAGTGCGAAGATTAACCAGTAACGACCGAGACAAGCTTGATAGCCCATTAGAAAGGAAGGGATCTAATATTAATCCTCCCAAATTTTCATAATAAAAGGATCATGCATTAATGAGATATCCAATAACGGGAATAGCGACATCAAAAGTCTGTCAGAACCGTGCGAAACTTCGCCAATGGTAGCCGTAGGCGACCGAGCATTGCCTGCTAGTGGAGTAGGCATCCTACACACGACCGAGCTTTAGCGAGGAATAAACCCCACTGATCTCGAGGCCGAGGCTACTTAGGCGAGTGAGCTGGGATTTCGGCTTCAACGACTCGAGGAGGAGCGTTGCGCCTCGTTCTCGACGTGGTCCCGATACTTCAGAAAGTCGGAGGTCTCACGGGGGACAGAGGTAAGCTTAGGGGGTGAATTCTAGTTGATTTCGAACTACAGTACAAGCATTAGTTACAAGCTGTATATAAGCGCTAGGGAACTGAATGGGGAATAAGTCGCCAGATCTCATGGAGATTGTGGGCGGAGAAAAGAAAGAGGAAAACAAACAAAGAGCACATGTTCAAGACAGCGAAGGTCAAGTGTGACCTTCGCTGCGAGGTAACAAGGTGCAGCGAAACATGGAACAACAGGTCGCGGCGCTCTGCACCGCTAGGTCGTTCAACGACAATCAAGGGAGGGGTTGTGGAGAGGTGGCGGGAAGTGGATAGACGGCGACGGGCGGCGAGCGGAGTGTGCGGGGAGTGTTCGGGCGTGGGAGAGGGTCAGGGAGGAGGTCGTCTGGCCCCGGGGAACGCCGGGTCATGACAAAGTCCGAGCTCAGGGAAAAGACGATGTTTGCATAGGATCCATAATTAAAACATACAACAAAATTTACACGGAAATTATGAAAAATGGGGAACTATAGTTATGCAAATTTTCAGCCCAAACGGTCCAGCCATTGTGAAGTTATACCCATGACAGGAATATAGAAATCTGTCACGACCCGGTGTTCCCCGGGGCCAGACGACCTCCTCCCTGACCCTCTCCCATGCCCGAACTCTTTCTGCACACTCCGCTCGCTGCCCGTCGCTGTCTAACCACTTCCCGCAACCTCTCCACAACCCCTCTCTTGATTGTCGTTGAATGACCTAGCGGCACAGAGCGCCACGACCTGTTGTCCCATGTTTCTCCACACCTTGTTACCTCACGGCGAAGGTCACGCTTGACCTTCGCTGTCTTGAACACGTGCTCTTTGTTTGTTTTCCTCCTTCTTTCCTCTGCCTGCAATCTCCGCGAGATCTGGTGACTTATTCCCTATTCAGTTTCCTAGCGCTTATATACAGCTTGTAACTAATGCTTGTACTGTAGTTCGAAATCAACTAGAATTCACCCCCTAAGCTTACCTCTGTCCCCCGTGAGACCTCCGACCTTCTGAAGTATCGGGACCGCGTCGAGAACGAGGCGCAACACTCCTCCTCGAGTTGTTGAAGCCGAAATCCCGGCTCACTCACCTAAGTAGCCTCGGCCTCGAGATCGGTGGGGTTTATTCCTCGCTAAAGCTCGGTCGTGTGTAGGACGCCTATTCCACTAGCGGGTAACGCTCGGTCGCCTACGACTACCATCGGCAAGGATTTGCATGGTTCTGACAAAATCCGCATCATGTTTAATGACATGTGAGGGTGGCGATGCGCAGGGAACCGGCCGTCAGAACCGAGATCCACACTTTGGCAGATCGTGAAGACCAATTTCCATCCAAATAAGGAAGAGCCTGGTCAAAACAAAGCACGGAAAGTGCAAGACAACCTTAGATCATGAGGGAAAAATCTGAAATAAATCACAGAAGCCCATATGAAAGATATAAACACCCGTGCATATCATAAATCCTGAACAATTAAACGGAAACGGTGCCTGCATACGAACGACTATGGGAACAATGCACATGATTACTGAATGTGCACACAAACTTTTGCCAACTCAACAAATACCAGGAAATAGAACACAACTTTAGTACCATTGGAAAGGTGGGAATAAATGAAAATTTATGATACCAAGAACGTGAGAAAACATCCAGAAATGAATGAGATACAAGGACATGAAGTTAGAAACCTGAAAACGCATGGGAAGACAGCTTCAAGAGGTCCAGAGTCCTAAATAAAATACATAAAAATATGATATCTTCAAGGACGACCTACTATAACAACGAACAATACATATGGAGGATTAGGATGTGATAATACAAAGGGGAATCAAGGAATATGAATGAAATTCACGAAAACCACTAAACTACAACGGACCATGGCAGGAATTTTAGGGAACGATATTCTAATGAAGTGGAGAGCTATAACACATTTGTTTGAGTAATTCTTGACTACTAGCAACTTTTTCTTTCGGTTTTAAACCTGAATAATTCACTCATTTACCATTTCAGTCTCATTTTAACTAAATGTCACTAAATAAAAATGGAATAAATCAGCTGAAGGTCTCAGCACAGCTGTATGCATAGTAATGCGAAGTTTGAATTCAGAATCACCGAGTCATAGCAAATTTAATGGTATATATAGGGAATTTGAAATAGGTAACTGCGACAAATGCAGTGCAGCCAAGTTCTAATTAACCATTAAAATAGCTTAGGTGAGGGAGGACAATAAGGATTCTAGGCGCAGTCTGACCGCAGTAGAACCGCAGTTCAGCGCAGCAAAAGCGCAGTAGAACTATAGCGTGAAAATTTCATTTTTTATTCAGTTTGAGAAAAATACACTGTAAATAAATCCTGTAAATAGAAGGTAGAGCGTGAAAAAGGAAGGTGACCCAAGGAGTATAAAAGGGAGACCCTTTCTGCGACTTTTCACCCCCTTAGAGAAGTAAGAAAATAGAGTATTATTTTTCTCAAGCATTTCTGGTTGTCACTCCAGCGCGAAAAAGTGATATACAGTTAAGATTGCCACTGTAGTAAAAGGCAGCAATTAAGGAGAAAAATATTAAGTAAATATTTCAACAGGAGAGCTGGTTAACACTCCAGATTTCAAAGTGTAAACACAAAACAGTTATCTTGCTACTGTTAAAACAAGCAATAAAATAAGACAAAAATAAAACAAACCCAAGGGACACTCCAGACACAATCCAAATCCATTAACTGAATAGAATCTTTGAAACTTCACCAAGTAGAGGATTTAATTCAAGTTAAATTCCAAATTAAACAACACTACACAGAATTACACCTAGACAAATTAAGAAATTTCAATAAAGAAACAGCTCCGCAGGGCTCGGTTTATCTGTAAGTCAATTCCCAGGAACTTTAAAACTAACCCATAAAAATAGAATTAGCCAAAACACTCGGATTGGTACTATATTTACAATAAACAATACTGGTACACTTCCCCATCCTAACTAAAGAACCAGGGAACAGCTTGGTGGTGGTCTCGTTTGAACCTCCCAACTGACCTTCCTTCGTTCTCTCCTTCACTGTTCGGACACCTTCGTTCTGATTCGGACTCCCTTTGTTTCCCTTGTGCTTTTGCCCTCTCCATTATATATCGGTGCTTGTACATACTTGTTTTAGTCCCTTAGTCTAAAATCGACCTGAAATGCCCCCTAGAGACTTCCTGCTCGCCTCCTATGAAATTAAGGACCAAATGGACAAACAGCAATGGCACAGCGCTCTGCTTGAGTTGCTGAGGCCAAGGTCCCTCCTTGCTAAGTCTCCGGTTCCCCTCCAGAATTGTCTGCCCTCACCCAGTTCTAACAAGTAGGTAATTACACTTGCCTTCACAGGGAATGAGTTGAGAAGAAGGGTAACCTTCTCAACCCCCTGTGAGGCTGCTACAAAAGGAGCCTGAGAACTGTGCAGTTGTTGGGTCTTTCCCAGGCTTCCATATTAGGTACCGTGGGAAGATTCTGGGAGAGCTGCTTGCCCAGAACATTCCCACGGGTTCGCATACCTGTACCATTGTGGAACAGTGGAGGAAAAATGGGGGAAAATGGGGAAGGGTGGTTAGGAGGGGGGAAAGGGTGTCTGTGAAGAAATTCACGTTGCTAGCACTATAGACTTATGTCATGAATTCAACTGA